TATATCTTCTTTCCTTCCTGTCTCTTTCCCTCCTTCCCTTTCTCCTTCCCTCCCTTTCTTCCTTCCTTTATTTCCTTTTCATTCCTTTTCCTTGCTAGAAAAATGAACAGATGCTTTATCTTCTATATAAACAAATGTGTGTTTGAGCCATTGACCTGGAGAACTGGCTGTCAGGATACAAAACAAGAGATGGAAGACATGCTGGATCCCAGGAATCTAGAAGTGGAGGGGGGAGGAGAAAGACTAATGAACAATAGTTTTTAAAAGCATCAGAAAGTCAGGAGGAGTAAGAAGGAATCAGTTGCATAGCTCCGTAAATGTCCTGGGTCTGGGAAAGGGCTAAGTTTGGGGTATGGTCCAAGGGATCTGTAACCAGATGGAGTTTCATTTCCTGATCTGAATCCGTCTGGACTCTGGGATTGTGCTGGGTGCCCATAATTCGCTGACTTGTTGTCTGCGAATCCTGACACTTGTGCTAAAGTGGCGTTATTACACCCAACATATCTGTCCTGAGGAGGATGCTGCTGGTGACTGAGAAAGGGCATGGAACAGAAAAAGGGGCATGCACAGTCAGCCTGAGGCTGTATGTAGTCCAAGAAAGAGTCCCTGCAAGGACTCGGTGGCAGCCGAAATGGCAGTAGGGAATGCAAAACACCTGAGCTTTTGCTGCAGCGATAATTAAGTATTTTAGTTAAAAGGTTCCCTCCTTTCATCTTCTGGCCTAGAATAAACAGAGATCTTGTTGATGTAACAAAGTGCTTAATTAACCAGAGGTGGTACTTAATACATGTTGAAGGGAAGACTTGCTCTGGGTAACAGTAATATGGATGATTGAGTTGTATGAATAAAAAAATGAGTAGAGTGAATTAAGAATAATGTACATCAACAGGAAAAAAAATCTGTTAGCATTCATTAGTTAGACTCCTGTTTGTGGATCTTTGTTAGCCTAAGGAAGCCCTTTCAAATGGCTGATCCCTGTTGGAAGTCCTGATGCTGAGGGCTCTCCATGGATGCCAAAGGAATGAGTCACTGAAATAGAACTTCTGAAATTCAAGTACAGCACGTTGCTTTTTTTTTTTTTTTTTTTTGGCAGCAGGCAGCAGTGACTGTGAAGTAATAATGATAATGACAATGGAAATAAGAGTGTGATCCTAATTAATTTTCTGCGAGTTATTCCCCATTTACCAATATTGACTTGTTTTGTCTTGAGTGGGGCCCAGGTACTGGAATAAAGGTATATATATTCAGTGTCACTTGGCTAACCTATGATTTGTCGAAGGTTAATTTAAAAAAAAAAAAACTGTTGGGTTAGCAGCCATAAAGTCAATAACAGTCTGTGATTTAACTCAGAATTTCAATTTCTTTGATGGTGTTTTTAAAATCCTGAATTAAAATTTTTGTCTGCACTCAGGTCTTATCTGCCAAATTGCACATAAGCTAGCCAACCTAAAGCTCAGCAATATTCTAACTTCCATGGTGTGGGGATAGATTGGAGGGATGCTAGAGAAGACTGAGAGAAAGATTGGAACAAGAGTAGAAGTAAGCGTAAAAACACCTGCAGTGAAGACCATCCCTTAGTTGCCCCAGTTACAATCTACCTTTCCCTAAGGATTGTATGGTTTAATCATTCTCACCTCCCTTTCCCCTGGGAGAAAAAAACAAACAACATCTCTTCCTGACTCCATCAGTGGGTTGGACCTTTTTTACCTGACCATCTTCGTGGACATATGAACTTTAGATGGTAACCCACCCCTGAGGCTGGGAGCTATGTGTGCTTTGTTCATTTCTGTACCTCTAGCACTTAGCATGTTGTCCTGTACATACTAGGAATTCACAAAAAACTTGAGGAATGAATCAATGAGTGGATGCGATGATTCCTACCAGCATGAATGGAATTGATGTTCCAATAGGTAAAACTCACCTTTGTGGTAGAAGGAATGTTACATCTAAAAGTGGTTGTAAGCAAGGACCCTTGTAGGGGACATTCTGCTTTGCTTTTCTTTTGCCTGCCCAAGAGGCTATTATTTCTGCCTTTTCTTTCAATTCCCCCCATCCTGACTACCTTCTTGCTGAGATTGCCCTACCCAACGGAAATTCTGTAGCCTATGGTAGAACGGTGAAGACCCATGTTCCCAGCTTTTGGTGAACGCCCTCTATGTGCCAGAAACTGGAAGCATTGTGCTAGGCACTTGTTGAAGAGACATAGATAAATGATCAGTTACTTTGTTTATACATACTTTGTACCTTTTGAATTTGCAATTCCACTCAGAATATTGAGCTGGAAGCTGCCTTCAAAATCTTCAAAGTCAACCCTCTTGCTATAATAATCAGAGCTCACATTTATTGAGGTCTCACTGCTCCTAGACACTTCATATACTAACAACCCTGTGAGGTAGGTACTCTTGTTATCTATATTTCACATATGAGATAATTGAGACAGAGAAGTTAGGTAACTTGCTCAGAGTCACATAGCTAGGAAGTACTAAAGCCAAGATTCAAACTCAAGTTTGTCAGACTTCAAAGTCTGCCTAAAGATAGAAAAGGACTTGCCAAAGGTCATTTTGCTGAAGCCTAGCTCTTCTGGCTCTAATTTGTGTGCACATTTTGCTATGCCATGCTGCTACTTTAGCCCACACTGTGGGGTTCCTTCCAAGCATCATTTTCTTATTTAGAAGTGCTTGTCTCCCCAGATGGACTGTAGATTACTCCATGGCAGAGACTACATTATTTCTGTGTTGCCTCCTTCCTCAAGGGATTGCCCAAGCTTTACCTTCAGTAAATAATCACCTATGATCAGCTTCTTAGCTGCTCCCTGGAGCTTCCTGGAGCTATCCCCCAGTACTACTTGTGGCTCAGAGGTTGGAAGGAGTCAGGAAGTAGAATTTTGGAGAAGGAGTCACCTCACCACCTGCTTTCTGTTTTGTTCTCTGCAACACAGATTGAAGATGGGGGCAAGGCAGCCTTGTCCCAGAAGATGAGGACTGGTGATGAGCTGGTGAATATCAATGGCACTCCATTGTATGGCTCCCGCCAAGAGGCCCTCATCCTTATCAAAGGCTCCTTCCGGATCCTCAAGCTGATTGTCAGGAGGTAAGGTACAAGGAGATTTGTTGTGAGGTGCAGTGGCTGCTGAAACCACTTGGTTGGTAGTAAAGCCTCAATAGAGTCATATCTCTATCAATATCATCAAGAAAAGAGGTGTTCACGTGAACGGAATTTTGCAGACAATTGAAGCAGAATGGCATAGAAGAAAGGGCCTGTGGTTCAAATCCTGGCATTGCCGCATACTGAGTCACCTTGGATAAATTTATTTTACCTCTGCAAGATGCAGTCTCCTTATTTGCTATTGAGAGAACTAAATGACTCAATGCACACCAAGGGCCTATGTAACCCAGTGTTTTTCTGTCTCCTCCTTCATAACAGGCTGCCATTGTTCAACCACATAGCTTTAAAGAGACCCTACTACCAGCCATGGTAGGCATTCTGGAGTCTGTGGCAAACTCTAAGATAGAAACCCTGCCCTTGAGGAGTGTACAGTCTAACAGGGGAGAAAAGACACCATGTGACAAATTATTTACCAATATATTTTTAAGAGAGCAATAAAGGAGATTTCACAGGGTGAAGGGTGACTGCCAAATGAATTGTTCAGACAGAAATTGCTATTAGAGTTCAAGAGAAAGAGGGAGCACTTCAGAAGAGATTGATAGGTAAGATTTCATAGAGGAGGTGGGATTTGAGCTAAAGGGTGGGTAGAATTTGACAAATAAACCATCAGGAGGAGAAAGGCATTCCAGGTAAGTGGAGTGGCATAAGCAGAAGGAAGGTAAGGACATATCTGGGCTTAGTCATTCTGCTGCTGCCAAACATCTGCCTATTGGTGAGCTTTCCGTATCGCCTCTCTTTCATTTTGCTGCTGCATCTTTGCTCTGTACTACTGGAGCTCATACTTCTCCCTTTCTATTAGTTTGTTTCCTTTATCCTATACATATGCCTAAGTTTCTCCATCTTAATTATTTTTATAAGAAAAAAATATTGAAAGCATCTTCCCACAAACATACTTCTCCCTCTGGCTACTATCCTGTCTTTCTCGTTTTGTTCATGCTTAGTCTCTCAAAAGGAGAGTCTATACTCACTGTCTCCACTTCAGTTACCATTAAGCTTTCTACCCACTGCAGTCTGAATTGGACACACAGAACTCCACTGAAACTACTCTGTCAGAAGATACATATTACCTCGTAATTGTCAAAGTCAATGGATTATTTTCAGTCTTTATTATATGTGACATATATATGGCATTTGACATTATTGCTCTGGATTATGCCCTCCTTTGTGAAACTCTTCTTTCTTGCTTTCAGGATATCCCATTTCCTTGTTCTTTTCCTACCTCTCTGTTCATTTGTTTAAACTAGGTACCTGCTCTTCCTCTGACCATCCCTTAATTGTTGGTGTTTCCCCTAATTCCACCCTTTCTAACTTCATTAATATACTATGGAAAATCTCACCCAGTTCCAAAGGTTCAATTATCATCTATATGTGGATGACTGTATCTCTTGTGCCCAGACCCATGTAGCCAACTTCCTACTAGACATTTATACTTAGATGTCTCGGAAGCATTTCAAACACGCTCAAAACCTAAAATGTCATCTTCTCCTCCCAATCTCCTTATCTCAGTGACTGGGACTACCCTGCCTTCAGTCAACCAAGCTGGAAACACAAAAGCCATCTTTAATTATTCCATTTTTCTCAGGCTCCAAAACCAAATGATTTATCCCAAAGAGAGAATACTTAGGGAGACAGGGTTTTGAGTTAGTAACAGTGAGGTTGTATAGGATCCCATTGATTTGTTATAATACCTGCTGGTACCTAAGATTAAGCCATGCCTGCCCATGAACCTGGGTAGGAGGTGACATGTTAAGTAATGCCTTATACCATAGACAAATTGTCACTGACTGAATCTTGAATCCATCATGATTTAGGTTTAAAATAAGGCTTCTTGGAGGGGTAGCTTGGTGAATTTGGAAGAGTTTTTGTTTTGGAGTCAGATAGACCCATGGGAAATAATAGTTCCTACATAATGGTGTTGTTGTGATGATTAAATGAGGCAATTTTTGTAAAATGCCTTTCACATAATGGGTTCTCAATGAATTTCAGTCCCATTCCTTTCCATAGTGTATAAAAGAAGCATAATTGGAGTAACTAAACATTATTAAATAAGGAGAGCATCAGAATTATTGTGTGCTTTGCAAGCTAACCTTCAGAGAACATGATTTGCTGGGAAACCATTAGGGGTGACAAAGGTCTGAACAGGAAATAAAAGTCCCTGTGAGATACTGGTTATACAGAGATACCAGCACTTAGAGGGAATTTAGACAACCCAGCCAAGGGTGGCTTCTGAGCCAGTCATAAGAATGAGAGTGTTCGGGTGTGTCACCCACTCATCCTCCCTTGGTGAGCTCCATGTCCTCTTTCTCCCTGCTGTAGCAACATCTGCCACTACCAGTCATTTAGGAGTAGCTATAATTATGGCCTTGGAGATGGTAGGGCCCTTTGGTTTTCATGGTGTGGCAGTTCCTATGGCTCCCTGAACCTACATTATCTGGGTTCTTCTCAGCCCCTATTGGAGGAGGCAGTCAATGACATAATTTATTAGGTGATGCTGCCCTCTTGTGGAGAACTTAACCTTCACCTATGGACAATCCTGGAGATGGTATAGGACATTTATTCCCTCATTCGTTGTCCAAATTATTCCTCAAATTTATGAAGAGCTCCTAGCACACATAAAAGACTTATGATCTCCCTGAAATTTAATATTTAGCCTAATGTTTTATACTAAGATAGACAGACTTTGGTTCGAGTAAACAATCAACTGACGAAGATTCAACATTGAGCTTTAGGTCTGGGCTTGAATCCTTTGCGATGAATATAAAAAGAAGGAACTTTACAAAATGGCCTATTCTGAAAAGCCAGCACAGCTTTTCCTCCTAAATTGCCTTTTAGATAATGGTCAACTAAGTCAGAAATCTAGGTGTTACCCTCAACTCTTCTCGCTTGCCCCAACCCCCTTCAATCCAAGTAATTCCAAGTCTTGATGATTCTACTTGTTAAAACCTCTCTGTAGCCTTTGTCTTAATCTAATCACCATGATTTCTTACCTGGACTATTGTAAGAGCCTTCTCACAGGCTTCTCATCTTTCCATCTCACCTCCTTCCAATCGATCCATTCTCCAAATAAGGCATCTGATCATGTCACTTATCTACTTGAAAAAAAAAAACAGGAATAATAATCATACAACCATGTTGGTCCCAAGAGATTCATTTTATATTGCTAGAAGATAAAACTGTATTGAGGATATTATATTTATGAACCAACTTTTTACAAAACAAAAAATGGCATCCAAATATGTAAAGAAAAAACTGTTTGCAATACAAGAAGAAAAATTATAGAAACGTCTATATGGGAGATTTTCACATAATTTAGGTATGAGAGGTAAAGTAGACCAAAAAAAAGTAAGTACTTAGAATATTTGAAAAACATAATTCATCAGATTTAATTAATAAATATCAAAAATTATATTTTATAGACAGTGAATACACCCTCTTTTCAAATGTTCAGAAAACTTTTATAAAATGCTCATATGGTATGCCACAAAGAAAAATTAACAAAATTTAAACAAGCCTTCAACTGCTTGAATATTTCAGAACATGTTTAAATGTAAGTATTAGCCCAAAGGAACACTAGCAGACTAATAAAAAATAACAAAAATGAGATCATGACTTATCAAAACTTTGAGAGCAATATTCAGAAGTAAATTCATAACGTTAAATATTTCATTATTAAAAATGAAGAATGAAATTACATGACTAAGGATCCAATATAATATGAAGCTGAGGGGTAGGTTTTTTCTATGGGGGGATAAATTAAGTAGATAAGCCTCTAGCAAATTTAATCAAGAAAGCAAAGATGAATTATAAATAAAATTTAAATGATAAATAGAATATAATAGCAAATACAAAGAAGGTTTCTTAAATTATAGGATACTACAATTGTACCTTAATAAATTTGAAGATCTCAGAGAAATTAAAATATCTAATAAAATGTTAAATGCCAATCATTATTGAGAAGTTTAAAAATAAATGGACTTGTAACTGTAGAAACATTGAAAATAACTATCAAAGAGAAAGTCACAAAAATTCTTTATAACCTGATGGATGTTTTTATCAGTGAGTTCCTTTAAACTTTCTAGGAATAGCCAAGTTCACTTCTATAACATTGTTACAGAATTGAAAATCTTGCAGTTATTCACGTTGTTTTTTGAAGCTAGCATCACTCTGGTACCAACACCTGAGAAACTGCTTCAAAAAGAATAGGTTATTCAGGTTGTGAACTTAGATGCAAAACCTATAAATGAAATTTTATCAAATCTACTTGAGTAATAGTGGACAATAACAATTCATTGCAAATGTGAAAAGATAATTTTTTAAAAAGGTAAAATCTTAACTCATAATGATATAAAAATGAACCTATGTTAAAGATTTTATTTAACTAATTAAGGAGGAAATTGTAAGATATTACAACCAGTTCAAAGGATAAGTCAAAAAAGCACAAATTTAATTTAAAACTGACAATAGACTACAATAACCAATTAGGAGCTCTAAGGAGAAATATGTCCCATTCACAATAGCAACCAAACACAGAAAATTCTTAGGAATTACCTTAAGAAATATGTATGAAAGAAAGAGGATGTAAATGGTGGAAATTACAAAACCGTATGGGAAGAGAAAACGTGTACAAGTAATTTTTGATTGTGTGGGTAAAGTCTCAGGGCACTGTGTTAAATGATAAAATAAAAAAAACAAGACTCAGTTTAATGGACAGTCTGTTCATATGCCCTGGTTTAAGCATACTCTCTACAGACAACTTCCAAACCATTATTCCTCCACTCTCCTGCAAAATCCTTCACTTTTAAAATTCAAACAAGTAGGCTTTATCATTTTCATTTCCTTACCAATGTCATCTATCAGCCTCCAGGTCATTCTCCCACTTCTGTTTTATACTTTGGCACCTGCTTCACCATCATCTTCTCTACCCC